CCTACAATGAATTCCTGAAAGTCGTCAATCTGTTCACTCAAGACTTTATCGATACCGCGCGGTTAATCAAGGAAAGCAGGAACTTCCTTGGGGATACCGAGCTATTGCGACAGTTCAAGGAAATTTTGGGATGGGATGAGAAGAAGGAGCGAGAACATTTCCTAATGGAACAACAGCAGAAGTTCAATTGGACAAGACCCGTGGTTGCTGGTGTGAGGGATCGACCAAGTCGTATCGAGTTGACGATGAAGTATGGAAGTTATCGACGGTTACCTGCCAGCGTAAGCATATAGCCATCTTTACGGTTCGCTCAATTATATTCAAGTAATTCCTGACAGGATGTTAATGTTGCTTGCACTGGTCGAGACGAAATGTGTCGGTCAGTGCTGAACGACGAATGGGTGTCACATCCGACGTGGTCCAGCGAGGACTCTGGTTTCATCGCCCACAAGAAAAACATCTACGAGGAGGCCCTTCATCGCAGCGAAGAAGAGCGTCATGAATATGACTTCCACATCGATGCCATTGCTCGTGCTATCACACTCCTGGACCCCATCGCTCACAAGATCAACCAGCTTCCACCCGAGGAGAGACACAACTTCAAGCTCAAGCAAAATCTAGGGGGCCAGGCGAAACCCATCCATTATCGCGTTATAAAGAAGATATACGGTCGTGAACCTGGGCTAGAAGTCATCCAAAGTATGCAAGACACCCCAGCAGTCGCTATCCCCGTTGTTCTGCAACGTCTCAAGCAGAAGGAGGAGGAATGGAAACGTGGACAACGGGAATGGAACAAAGTTTGGAGAGAGGTGGATGCCCGGAACTATACCAAGAGTTTGGATCATCAAGGGATCACATTCAAGGCTGCGGACAAGAAAGCTCTTACCACAAAAGCTTTCGTCAGTCAAATTGAAGCTGCGCGCGAGGAGCAAATTGCTAAACGTGCTTCATTGATCGATCCATTGTTTGCGAGGACCAGACCTCGGCATCAACTGGAGTACCCGGTGGACGATCAATCAGTGTTACAAGACACTCTCAAACTTACGTTCTGTTTTTTGGACCGGACACAAGCGCAGATCAACCTGGTGGAACGGAAACGGATCGAAAGTTTCTTGAGGACGTTTGTGCCTCTCTTTTTCGATTTAGATCCGGTTGCGTTCAATTCAGCATTCGCAGCTGTCCACGAAACTGTGGATGGCGAGGGTGGGGAGGATGTCACTATGGAGGATGCTGAGGCGTCAGCGTCTCATGGCAACTCGACTGGCAAGAAAGGTGGAAGGAAGGGTGGAATGGCAAATGCGGGTGGTGATCTTCGGAAAAAGCTCCTGAAGAGTGAACAAGCCAAGTCGACCAACAAGAAGACCCGAGCGCAGCAAGGGAGTGCATCCCCGTCCGCATCGAGGGTTGCCTCTCCTGTGTCCACGATCGACGAAGACCCCAAAGAGGGAACCTCGTCTGCAACCACATCGGCAATAAATCCCCAGCCGGTTGCATCCACGTCAACAAGCTCTAATCAAAAAGCACCGAAGAAAAATATTTTCCTCGCAAACACTGCGTTTTATGTCTTGATTAGACTTATCGAGGTACATATTTTCCACTATACGGTCTATCCCCCTCAATTCTAACGATCGTCCAGGTGGTATACTCCCGGTTAAGCCTCTTCAAGGGCATTGCTGCGAGTTTAGCAGCAGAAGGGCCAGCATTCCGTCAGGCTACAAACCCAACTGCGGCGACATTTGGTTTGCCTACTGGCAACCACGCTGATTCCACGAACTTTGGAGACAGAACGGCCAATGCTGAACATTTCTATGAACTGTTGTTGGACAGCTGTGAAAGGTTGTTCGATAACGAGGTTGAACAGCATGCTTTTGAGGACCTCATGAGGTATATCTTTGGTGTGAAGGTGACGGTGTTTTCCCTTGATCTCGACGGCGCAGCTAACGAATTACATAGCATGCTTATAAGATTTTTGCAATCGATAAGGTCATCGGTATCCTCATTAAGCAGGCAAGTTGTATAGTCGTCTACCTTCTTTACGTACTCACTGTGACGTTTTAGGTCCAAGCCGTTTTTGCGGACCCTCGGAGTCAAGAGCTGCTGGAAAATCTGAAGCGTGACCGTGCCGTTCGATGCCCAACGACTCAGGACGTCACCGATAGCCGCAATAATGCGGACAAGATTCTTGGTCCAGATGAGAATCTCTTTCAGATCGACTGGGTATGTGCCCGTTATATGTCCTTTGAGAACTCATCCTTACTCTTCATTCAGCTCGCAGAGTCAAAAGTTATAACAATCCGACTCCTGGGGAAAGATGACTCGAGCTTCGATGACTCTGAAATCTGGACTGGGAGATGGCAAACTTATATCGAGTCGTATGTCTCTGTGAGTTGCACCATCATCCTGTCGTGTCGTTGTTTTCTGATGAGGCCCGTTGTAGAGTGAACACACGGAAGGTGTGCTCCCTGCCAAAGTAACCCGACCCTTCCTCCGCAGGTAAGGACTTTATCCTAAATCTTGAGCAACAAACTAAGGAACTTTCTCAGAACTCTTCCCGCTGCCGTTCGCGACCAAGACCCTAAAGTATACTCTCAAGACGGCATTGAGATGAAAGTCTGCATCCGAACCTACCGGCTATTCTACGTCGCCCGGACGGAAGACTTCCTCTGGAAGCCTTTGAAAGCACAGGAAGTTCAGACCATATCGAAGCAGCTCAAAGCGCGAAATAGGCTAAGACAGAAATGGATGGCCCAAATTGCGGAGAACCCTCTCAAGTCATAACACCCGCTCGTGCACGGGTTCTCCTCAGTTCGCTTTGTACATTTATCAGGTTTTTTTTGCATCTATTATAAGGCTAATGTTGTAATCTACGCATTCGAATCGGTGTGAAATATAGTATTTTCAGACTTGTAAACCTGCGATTGTTAAGCTCATTCAGACAGGTCTTCTCTTCCATCGGCCACGACGGTGAGAAGGGGACATCTTGTGACCATATGTTTTCAGGCGTACCGCCTCTTAACAATGCGAATCCCGTGAACAGAGCAGCTCCTCGCTCTCTCTACAGTCATGGTCCCGTTCTCGCCGCTCCTCATTGATGGCAAACTCGTTGAATCCTCCACCAAAGAAACATTCGAAGTCCGGAATCCTTACTCTGGTGATGTCGTAGGCCGATCTGCATCAGCTTCATCAACCGATTGCAAAACCGCGATCGAATCAGCACAACAAGCCTTCAAATCATGGGAACATTTTGGCCTTGCCCAAAAACGAGACATCTTTTTGAAAGCAGCTGATATTGTTTCGACAGAAGAATGGAAAGCTAAGATCGTTGAAGCGATATCGACAGAAACGGCCGCGACGGAGTGGTGGTCTGTGTTTAATTGGGTGATGGGTGCTAATACGTTGAAATCCCAAGCGGGATTGGTCAACGAATTGAGAGGGGATTCGTTCCCTTCGATGAACATGCCTGGGGGGACGGTTGTAACACAGAGGCGGGCAAAGGGTGTCATGTACGCTTGAGGCTATTCCTACTCACCTTGGGATGTTCGCTTACTGTATAACCTACGGTGTTTAAGCTTCGCCGTCGCACCTTGGAATGCGCCGTTCACACTTTCCCTGCGAGCAGTGGCCTGTGCGGTCATTTGCGGTAATACAGTCGTGTTGAAGTCATCGGAGTATAGCCCTCGAAGTCAACTGTTGGCTGCCGAATTGCTTTTGGAAGCAGGCCTCCCCCCTGGTGTCTTGAACTTCATATCTATTGCCCGAGATAAGGTACCTGGTCTGACGGCCGAGATAATCGCTCATCCGGCAGTTCGCCTTGTCAACGTGAGTCTAATCATCCTCGATGCGATGAAATAAGGTTGAAGGTTGACACTTGTACCGCAGTTCACTGGGAGCGACCGTGTTGGTCGGATATTGGCCATGGAGGCGGGTAAACACCTAAAACCGTGCATTCTAGAGCTTGGAGGGAAAGCTCCGACGATAGTAAGTTCATCAAGCATTACCCACTGCCACGCCAAGTTCCTGCCACTGCCTGTTGATAGAATGACACCTACCTTTCTTGTCAAGGTGTTGAATGACGCTAGCATTCAAGATGCTGCAAAAGCAATCGTATTCGGATCCATGGCCCATTCCGGGCAGATCTGCATGTCCACAGAACGCGTGATAGTCCAGAGTGGGGTAGCCCAAGAACTTACGAATGCCGTTCGGTCCCTTACGCAGTCACTACGCGCGGGTAATACGACAGATGATCCAAAAGCGCAGTTATCTGCCCTGTTCACGGAGTCATCGGCGGAAAATGTGGTTAACATGCTCAAGTCGGCTAAAGACGATGGAGCGGAAGTTATCCTTGGAGATTTGGATCGTAAAGGAGCTGTCGTTCAACCACACCTTCTCACTGGTGTCAAACCAGGAATGGCACTCTGGGAACGCGAGTCTTTCGGACCAGGTATGATCAGAGTTATTTGCTTGGAACGATGGGAATTACCGTACCTGCAGTGGTTGCGTTCACAATCGTTGATTCAGTGGACGAAGCCGTCGAGTTAGCAAACCAGACCGATTACTCCCTTTCTGCAGCGGTTTGGACGTCTGATCTTTATCAGGCGCAACAAATTTCAGCTAGCATTCACTCTGGTGTGTACGAAGTTAGGAGATTGTCGGAAACCACCTCACTCGCTTCACTCGCAGGATATGTGAACATCAATGGTCCAACAGTCCATTCTGAACCGATCCTCAGTCTAGTCGGACTTGGGTAAGTGCGCTTCAGATAAAAGAGTCAGCCACTTACACCGCGACAGGGGCTCCTCTGGATACGGTCGATTTGATATTGAGCATTTCACGGATAAACGGGTTATTGTGACGCATCCACTTGGTAGAACGTATCCGCTAGTTTCATAAGAAAAATTGAGGATTATTGTTGCTTTGCAGTTAGAACGATGGTATTGACGGAGTGGTTGTGGCGTAACCAAAAGGAGGTACTTGTATGTGGACACCAATCGTATCTTCAAGGGCACATGGTGTAGTTGGTTATCACATCCGCTTAGCATGTTAGCGTCTGCGGGGGGTGCTGGGTTCAATTCCCAGTGTGTCCACACTTTTTGATCTTCTGCATTTCGAATTCGACAGTCGGCAGCAATGCCGAGTATCCCCAAATATACGGAATCTTCGGTCAATATTTTCTTCCATGAGTTACTTTTGATCGATTTCTTCATAGGAATAGGCCGAGATGGCCTCGCTTTCGATGCTTCCCAGCGTCCGAGCACGAGTGAGAAGTGTCAGCAACGGCGAGGATGGGTGGAAGCTCCCAGCGTTGTTGAAGAGACAAGACGCTGACAAACAACAATTCAGCACTGCCCACGATTAGCGCGGGTTATTACCGCATGCAACGACTACCACTGTCGACGTTCTGAAAATATTTCTTAATCTTCTACCTCGTAATGATCATCGACGCCGACGACCCTTCGTATGTGGCCAAGTTAGACTCGAAACCCCAACCTAAAGATGACGATACCGCGTCGGCATTTGCGGGACCACCTCCATATGTCCCACCTGCGCAGCGGCTGCGACCCGGGGAATCCCATTCTAGTCGTGGCGCTCAAGGAAGTAGCAGCAGTAGCAGCTACAGAAACCCACCATCACCGCCCACGGTACATGCGTCTTCTGCTAGCTTAGCGCTTCGACCGCCTCCCCCTTCGCATTCATCCCGACACGCTGGCTACGCAACACTTCGACCTACCCAGTCGTTTCAGAACGTTTCTGCCGCGAATTTCTCCGACCCAACACCACCGCTATCGTTCTCCCGTTCACCTCCACGACATATCCTCTATCCCCAATTTCAACCTATATTCCTGATTGCAAGTGGAAAATTCTTAGACAAGGGCTTTCCACCCGTTGCCCCACCCTCCAGTACCCGACCCCATCCTTTTGCTGTCCATGATGTGAATCAAGGAGATTGGTTAAGGTGCGTACCCGTATGTTCTTACTTTGACGTCATGGGTGTGATTGAGGTCTGACTGGGGATTGTCGTTTATTAGGTTTTTAGATGATATACGTCGTTCTGCAATGTTGACAGAGAAGCAAGTTTCTCTAGCAGAGGATTTGCCGATTATTTCAATGCTTCCCATCGTTAGTTAGTATCTCTTCCTTTTCAATTTAGACTTTTATAGTGGAGTCTTTCCCCAAATCCATTTGGAACCTTTGCATGCTGAATCCGCAGCATCAAAATTGCGGGTTGACGCTTCACTTCCCCATCACAATCGGGTTTCCTCGTGCAGATGATTCTGATACTGTTACTTTAGACACATTGGTCGCACACGCAATCAAGGCGCATATGAAACGAAAGAAGTCGGAACCCGCAAGCCAAATTGTGGACACTTGGAATCACGTACGTGTCCAACATTCTTCGGTCCATTCACCTGTTTTTTCTCATTCTCGATTTCTGCGCAGCATTTTTTCCACCCCCGTAAAATGGAAGTTATCCTAATGAAGGGACCCATCCGACTGAGCGGCCAAAACAACCACCCTATACCCAATCTGCACACACCAGAGACTGTTAGTTTCTCATTGATGGATGTCCCTGGCATAGGCTCTTCTGGGGGTGGAATGTCGTCCACCGGGAGAAGCTCCCAAGATGAAGAGGACCCGCAGAGCAAGGGGAAGGCCAAGCTGGTGAGGGCGCATGAGGGATCGGAAAAGGACAAGACATATCGGTTATTCGTTGTGTCGACTACACAGTGAAAGTGTCATCTGTGAGCGGATTATTTCTTGTTTTATTTTCTCTCTCGTTTCTGGAGTTCATCTACCTAGTTATCTCTATTTGTTTTCATCGTTTTACGATCCTCATTTGATTCGTATATGTACAGTAGGTGCATCACATCCATTCTCTTACCTTTCTATATTGATAGCCTCTCTCGGACTTGTTAGTACTTACCGATAAATGTTGCTACGTTGTCATACGTTCCTCTATCTTTCTTTTCCTCTCCATGTTGAGCTTTCGTTGACGGCTGTTTTTCCTGGTATTTCTAGAACAGTGAAATGGATATGGTGGTGCTCCTATCCCGGTATCTGGACATGCAAGCGGTGATTGGGCTATCGCGGCTTGGCGATCGGCCGTGTTAGGATGCGCAGCCATCAATCTGACATGCGCAGCACCTTGTCAGTTCTAAAATGGGAACCACGTTTCGGCTCGACCAGAACCCGATCTGCACGCTGACGCCCCGCAGCACGGGAGTTGCCAGCCAAGATATACCCCACAGCCTTGACCTCCGCCCTTCTCTCGAGCACTACAGCCTCAAAATCATCTTGTCGAGTATAAAGCATCACCACTGACAAGATGATCTGTCTAGATTTTGACATCGACCCTCACCGCGATACCATGCTGAATACTACCGACTTGAAGCGGGATTCCATCACATCATCCAATGGCCCACCACCAGCATATGAGCAACCTAGCACAGGAGACTACGGCTTCTTTGTTGCCAGCGACACAAAGGCGCCACTTCCTCCCCCAGAGCTCCTCGAGCCTGCTCCCTCACCTCCCGAGGACCCTTACGCCCAAGTACCACAGGAACCTGTCATCGCATACGCTGCATTAGATGTATCAAATGCATTGGTTCCTTCGGTATCTAAAGCCTCATCCAGTTGGTGCTTATTTTCTCGGCGGACACCTATCAAGGAAGGAGAAATTACGCCTCCTTCTACGACGACCTATATTCAGGCAATCGACCTGTCTTTCTCATTCACCAGACCACCACCAATGGGTCTAGCGTATCCCCTGGACTTCCCACCAATGACGCACCTCCCGATTGGTCGTTATTCGCTAGACAAGGGGTTCCCTGCTCTTCCACCCACTTCCCTCGTCGTTCCTCATCCTTTTGTTACACACGACATTAATGAGAGGGATTGGATCACGTATGTGCCCATATCTACCTTCACAACTACAATCAGCTGACGGTGAATAGTTTCTTGGAAGACGTCAGAAGGACAGCAGCACTTTCAGGTCGAGAACGTGGCATGGCTTTGGGTATCCCTTTTGCCATGCAAATGGGATTCGCCGCATTCTTCGTTAGCAAGTATATCAAACGCCGTATGAGGAAGAGAAAGCTGGTCGATGTTGCTCAAGTGGTTGATGCTTGGAATCAGGTGTGTTTGATATGAGAAGGATATGTTCAACCTGCTAATCCGTTGACTTTAGAGCTTCTTCCATCCACGAAGATTGGAGGTTGTTTTGATGCGTGGTTCTGAGAGGGTTAGCGGTATTCCCGTCATTGAAGAAGATGAAGCTACCCGAGACCTCGCTACCATTTCATCCGATTCGTCCGACTCGTCGTCGTCGTCTTCCGATTCTGATTCCGGTTCAGAGTCATCTCACGACTCGCATCGTCGCAAGAAGGAAAAGGAGAAAGAGGACCAGAATCGACGCGGAAGCAGTCTTCCCAATATCCCTGCTTCAACATCACTTTCACCAAGTCAGCAGTCTACTTCATCTGGCAAGGAGCTTTATCGTGAACGCAAGAGGGAGCTGAAGGAGCGTTATCATACTGAATATCGAACTATTCGTGATCAACAACGAGGAGAGAAAAAGGGAGTTTGGAGGGCGAAGAAGGAAGAACGTCGAGAGAGGAAATATGCTAAGAGGACTGAGAAGAGGGAGAAGAGAGAGGTTAAGAGGGAAGCCCGTAGGCAACGAAGAGAAGAGAAGAGGCGGAGGAGGCGTGGAGCTGGGCCATCTGGGCCCTGTGGTCAGACCGGTGGCTTCAGGTTGCTCATTATTCCACACTAAGTGGATTTTTTGTTTTCTCTCTTATTTTCAGCTTTTGCGCGATTTGGCTACTCGGCTACCGTATAGCGTGTCACCTCACAACAGATAATTATATGAGCGAGTCTCTTCATTACATAGTCCCTTTGCATAGTCGCATATCACAGTCACAAGTACAAGCGCTCGCCGTCGCTACGCTCCGGCTCCCACTTGACAGACATCGAGATAATGTCCATGTTGATCAACATTAGCATAAGTGTAACAGTAGA